CCCCTAGACTTCATTTGCATTGGAAAACAATTTTTGAGCGACACTTTTAGGACAGATAACCATCCATTTCTAAAACCATGAAGTCTTTTTTATAAAGACATAAATGTCACCATGAAAGGGGTAAAGAGAAAACCAAGTTAACGGTGATGAACTCAACTTATTTTGTCAATGCAACATCCAAACGGCAAAAATAATGGTCTGCCATGTTTCACATCTAGGTTTTACTGACATTTTGGCTTCTAAATTACACAATGGGTCTAAATTTGCTACCACATGTCTTTTGGGGAGGCACCTAAAATCAAATTATCGGGCAAAGAGGAATGTTTAGGCAAACTTCCCCAAGAAACTTGGCGTTTCCCCATATTGCAATAATGTTCGAGCTTTTGATTTATATGTTTCAGGGCAAAAATGCGGACGATGACTAGGAACCTAAGACAATGACTTGTTTTGGTGGAATTTGGACTTTCAAGTCTTTCTCAAGCAGGGGGGCTCCAGGGGAGAGGATGGGTAAGTAGACTGTATCAACAAGCCAGCTCAGCCATAAGGTCTGTGGCTGGACATCAACAAGTGCCGTCAATGAAGAAGGACAGGTTACCTGTCTGTAGGTAGCTTTGGGTTCTCTTCATTGCTTTCTCAGCTTTGTTCCCTCTCCCACTAAGTAGAACATGATTCCAGCTTAAAGAGTTTCCTGACGATTGATCTTTGGATAGAGGTAGTACAGCCTTTTTGAGAACTAGTTCTGTATTGAAGTCAGCAGTAGCCACCCCTTACCTAACAAAGATATCACCATATTGATTTCATCGGTGCCTGGAGCCTGCCTTCAAAGCTAGGTTTTTGAGAAGGTAGACCAGGTGCCCACCCATGTACTGGGATTGAAGGAGCCCTGGGAAAATCCTCCACCCAAAAGATGTTTTCCACTGATGCTTGAAGGGCCATCATCGGTGACTCATTTGTATGGATACCTTGTGCTCTTTCTTTGAGGTCCTTTTAAAAAATGACATCCTGCATTCTAGTGAAGGTGTTAAATGTGAAGTCACGAATACTTTAAGGTGAGTTGACCATATTGCTTTCTCCCTAACAGAAGAAGCAATGGATATAGCACACATGATTTTGAGGAAGTGGTGTTTGTGACTCACCTGGAAGGGAAGGGCTCATCCTTAGGAAACATAACAGAAACTTCACCAATAAAGATATTTCAACAATCATGTTGCATAATGCCAAACACAGTGAGGGAACTGCCAACATCCTATATAACACATAAGCAATTGAATTTGGCTTCACTGTGTGTAGCCGGATTGGACCACCACCTACCTGCCCGTCTTGCCTATTAAGCTGACTTATCCCTCAAATCCACTCTGGGTCAAAGTTGGTTCAAGGATCTTGTAGGATTTGAGTTCAAGTTCATCATTTTGGGGAGAAGGAACATGAGAAACCAGGCTTGCTTAGTAAAGGGAGGTCTTTGCCTCCCTAAGGTGCCAAGGGAGTTTTTGAGGGCAGCAATCCTCTTTTATCAGAGCCTGGCTACACGTGGCTTCTGGACCATACTAGAATAATCAGTGTCAGGTGAAAGAATGAGTGGCTTTCACACTGAGTACTAGTTGAACAAGTTGAACCTTGTTTCAGGCAAACAACGGTCACCTGCATCGCAACATCAAAAAAATTCAGATGTAGTTCAAACTTTTAGATCACTGATTGGAGATGTGTATTTATATACTACGTGTGCTATTTATATCAATCATTTCTCTGTGTTTTTTTGTTTTTTTTTTTCTGCCTTAATGTAGAAAGAGTCTACTCCTGGCAGGACCCATTCCTACTATTTTCCAGCCCAGAGCAAGAGGACAAATGGAGGCCCACATATCTCATGTCTAGATAGGTAAGGCTACAATCGCACTAACAAAACGTTCAATAAAATATGTTTTGTCCTTCCACCTTGATAATCCTTCAGAACCACCTGGAAGGCCTCATTCACATTTAGAATTCTTGGGTTCTCAGAGTTCTGGGCTGAAATGTGGAAGTGGGGAGAGCTGGCCCATGCCCACAGCCCACACCTGGGAAAGCCTCATCTGCACAAGTGAGGACACCCCAGATGGCACAGGCAATTCTGCCCACCCATCCCTCCCCTGGCAAATAGGCCTCCCAGGCCCAGGGCTACGCTCACACCAGTGCTGTCTGATGTGGTAACCCTTTCAAGGATGGACGCCGGCAACAGGGCCGTGCAGGGCCTCCTTCAAGTGGGCCGGAGCCATTGGGGGTGGGGCCATTCCAGCATCCTGGCTGCCCTGAGTGGTCTAGACCGGTGCTTCTGGATCTTTAATGTGTGTAAAATCCACTTGGGAATCTTGCTGACATGCTATAGATCAGACAGCAGAGCCTGCATTGCACACGCTTCCGGGTGATGCTGAGGCTGCTGGCTTGTGGACCACACCCGGGTATCGAGCCCCGGAGGGAACGGGCCCTGGGTGGCTGTATCCCCTTGGCTCTCAAGACGCTTCGTCCCATGGGGACTGGCCATGTCAGCACCAGACGCCTTTTGCCCGGTCTAAGGGTGGTTCTGGCCCCTTGTTTGCCCGTGTTCCCATTGCATCAATGGGCTCTGTTCCCACAGTGCAGGGCCCTGGTCCTCCCCCAGCTCTGCCACCACCACCTTTGATCTCCCACCCACTCTCCCCAAATGGAGTTTCTCTTGGCTCCTTTCCCTGCAGTGTTCCACTCCTTCCCCCGCTTTTCTCTTACGCCACACAACAAATGTAAAAATAACATTTCAAAAATGTTGAAAATTAATGCTGATGAAATCGTGTTTTTGTTTTCTTGGGAGGTAAGCAGGCAGTAACAACCCTACATGCAGTCTCTCCAGGGCCTAGCTATGATTTGGTAACAATATCATATCTGCTCACTCATTGCCTGAAATCACGAGTTCCAAACCTAAACGCTTGCTGGATTAGAGCAGACTGGATTTTCCTCCCCTATTTTTATTTTGACAAGGCTGTGAAAGCTATCTCCCCATCTAATGGGATCAAATAGGCTGCTAAAAATAACTCCTGCAAGTTTGTGTTACAAATGGGAAACTCCTCTCCCCATTCCTGCCTGTTACTCCGAGGAAGCTTAATCCTTAGACTTGTGTTCAAGTATTTGCACTGGTTTGTGTTCTTTTCTTCTTCCGAGGCTGTTTTTCTCTATTTGCCTGAGTTATTTGAACAGGTGGCTTTGCACAACCTATGCTAATGTGAGGCTTTTGTCTGCTTTGAGATTGCACAGGGAGTCGTTTATGGGAGAAATGTTTCTTTCTTGCTACACGATTCACACCTGTTCTGAGAATCACCCTGCGCTAACTAGAATACCACGCCGGAGAGGTCTTCCTCCAACTGGTCCCCGGCCCGGGAAAGCAGAGGCACTGCTGACCGCAAGGAGGCACGAAGCCACCTTTTTCTCTTTTCTCGCGCACGTGACAAGCAGCCAAGGGCCGTGTTGTGTGGCGTTGTGTGGCTTGGGGTTGGGTGTCCCTCTCCCCCCTCGCTCTGTCCGGACGTTGAGCGGACAGTAGGGATACCTGCTGCGAAGGTTGGGGAGGGGAGGGGGGGCCCTCGCCGGACGTGGCCAATGTCGTGGCGCAGGTGGGCGTACGAGGACTCCGGGGAGCCGCGGCACACCGTGGCCGGCGGCCTGAGCGCGGCGCCGGGGTCCCTTTGTCCGGGGCCACCTCGGGCGGGAGCATCGGGCGCGGGCCCGGAGCCGCGTCTGGCGGCCGATCACAGGCGGGCGCCCGGGGACGCTCGCGCGCGCGCTCCCTGGCCGCAGATCACAGGCGCCCGCCCGGCCCGGGAGCCCGCCTGCTGCCTGGAACGCGATCACAGGCCGCGCCTCCGGGCCCCGGGGGCGGGGAGGGGCGCGGCACGGGCCCCGGAGGAGGGCGGCCGCGGGCGCGTTCCCACGGGGAGGTCCGGGGCTGCGCGAGGGCTTCTCCGGGATCCCCCCGCAGGGGGTCCTCCGCCGGTGGGAAGGCGGCGCAGCGCGGCGCAGGGCGGGAGGGGGGGGGGGGGCAGCCCTCCCGCGGCTGGGGCCAAAGGGAGGCCGCTAAGGGGTCCCAAGAAAGGCTGTGTAGACGCACCGCCATCACTGCCTTGCGATAGCCACCTAGTCAGGGGAGCGCTGGGGATGGGCTTTTCTAGAACGTTTTTTGAGGAAACTGCATTCTTAGTTCCCTGGCCATAAGAAAAGAAAGAAGGAAGTGAGGGGGCGGGCAGGCTGGGAAATAGTTTAAACAAAAGTGGGTGTGATGATGCCCAATTGGTTCACCTAGCTCTCCACTTCTCACCTTTGCGCTGTAGGTGGGCTCCCGAGCTGCCTTTCCTACTTCACCCGTGTGTGTGTGTGTGTGTGTGTGTGTGTGTGTGTGTGTGTGTGTGTG